CTAGACCGAACTCCTTTTAATTTTAATTAATCTATTAGCATCCAGCATCTCTGGAGAATCAGGCTTAGGAGACTGACGTGGCCTATTGTGACTGGACTTGGCCAATAATCACGTCCTACGTCGTCCATGCTTGTGAGTGCCCCCTGAGAATTACTTCTTATGACGAATTAAAAAAAAATATATAAATAGAATTAAATTTGTGTGAAACGATACATTGTCTTTAAAGGACAACACTACAATGGTTATATGCCTATAAACTTGGAGGGGATGGTCCAATCAATTGGAAGTGTGTACGAGACTAGTCCATCTGACTCTGTCTCTGTCTGAGTGGCGACACGTGTCTCCTCCTTCTTGTAAATCAAAGGCTGCGTGACAGAGGAGCAAGGAGCATCAGAGAACACCTGTAGGAGAGCAAACAGCCTCAGCCAGGACTGTAGCGTTAATAAAGAGGAAAATTAACATCCATGCCATCAAATGTGTTTACTCAAGCTGGCAGGGAGTTAGGGGGGTGTAAGCATTAAAGGGGGGGAATTTGTGTGTGTGTTTGCACAGGAAGCATTCATTTTAATACACATTATATCGTGTAGAATATTGCAAGAAAAAACACCTCTTAAAATTTCCCATCTTTAAAACAGCAGCCAGCAGGTTTCCCAACATCTCCAACACACACACCTCAACACACCTACATACACCCACTCTCACTTTTACCTGTTTGCTCTCTTGTTGCTGCCTGGCAGCAGGGAGAGTTTATTTTTTCCTTGGGCTCTTTTATCAAATAATTCATGCCTCTTGGATGGGATGGCACTCTAAATGTGCTTTGATTGAGGCAATTAAGCCCGAGGACCTGTAACTACTTTGACAAGTCCTGATTTGTCTAGCTTGAACACAAATGTGATTGGCTGATGCAGTTGCAGGGCCACTGCATGAACATAATTTATTGTCACAGATGATTTTGTCCCATTCCAACAAAGTCAGTACAAATTCTGAGTTTAGTAGGTAGAGTAGGTAAGAGAGAGATGAATGTTACATGAATTGGTGCAACATTAGTAGAAAGATTGATTTTTGCTTTTGGCATGATCATAAAATTATCAAGCATAATCACAAAGTTTACTGTTGGGTGTGTTGTGGGAACGTCACCAAAATCAGATGCAGTGCAGGATTTTGGCACATGTACAAGCTGATGTATGGTGTTTCTTCTGAAAACACAACATGTGAAGACAAGGGAAGCATTTGCATACTCCAAAAACCCCCAAACAACAGTCTCACTATCATCCATAAACCTCAGACATTTTCTTTATATGTCTGTATTCAGCTTTTCCTCTCTTTTGCTAATGAATATATCCATAGGGACATAAAATGAAAGGTTTTGTTTTTGATGATTTTATTTAGTGTGTTCTAAGACATAGCATTCATAGGGTCAGACAAAATATCTCACGTCATACCTTCCTGACTCTTATCTTGCTACTTCCTAGAAAGGTCTGTGCAAAAAGATAAGGGTACGGTAAAGGTTGAGAAAATAACACAACGTAAGATCTCTTTTAGGGGAAGCAATGTAATGTTTCATATACTGTGTTCAGTCAGTATATGTATTTACCCAGAGAAATAGTTCAAAATATCTTCCAGTTTCAGCTTTTCATCTTCAGCATTGGAACCACAGCTGATAACAAATTATGGTTTATTCAAGCTGGCCAGTCATCGTAACTGGGAGGGCTGAACAAAGACAGGTTTGCAGTCAGCCTAATTGTCATTTTGGTCCGTGTAATTATTGTTGTCAGCAAACATACTTGCGAGCTGGCAAGTCTTTGAATTGCTGATCTGTGGCAGAGAGAAGAGGTAAACATTACCTGAGCCTACAGACTAGGAAGTGAAGTCACACTGCAGAAAGGAAGCACCAGCTTCCCCTCTGTTTTTGTTATATATAAAAAAAAATAATTAAAAAATGATTTTACTGGCTGCGAATCCTATAAATTATTTTGGGGGCAAAGTATGTTTAAAAAAAACAATCTGTGGACAAAATGTTTTTTTATTTGAAGACCCAGACTATTCCAAAGACTGTAATACTGAATGGTGGAGAATTTTATTGTCCTCTCTCGGCACTGTTTCTGAGGCTTTTACAATCTGCCAAGGATTGGAAATATACACCCTGTGCTTTGTTCAGCTTCTTTGGTGCCTCAGCCATCTTAACAACCACTAATATAAGAAAAAGAACAGGGAGGACCTTACTCTTAAAACGACCAGAGCCAAAATCAGTTCTTTTCATTATTTACTGCCATTTGAGGTGCCTCAACATGTCTGTCAATAAAATAATGAGGTGAACAGAGTTTGTCTCCTCTACATGCAGTGAATCTAAGGGGTCCTTGAGGTGTTTTTAAAGATAAAAGGTTTATAAAAGAATAATGTTTAAACACAAAAAACAATATTAAAAACTTCTATTCAACCTTTTTTTTTAATCAGGCTGGAAATAATAAAATAAATAGAAACCCTCTGCGTCCACCTGGCTTTTGGTTGAATAACAGACTCAGTTATTCAACATTCCTTCCCGTAACAATTAAACCAACTCTCAAGAAAGGTCTGATTTGCATTAGAATATAAATACCACAAAATGCCCTTTCATTCCAGTTTGTTGCTTGCCTGTTGGTGAAACAGAACAAGCTATAAGTACCGTAATAAACCTCCATTCCATCAACAAGTGTGAGGCACCGGTGCAAGATTGTTCACAATGTAAGATCTCGGGCCTTTCATGCTTGGTGGAGTTACTTAGTGGCTTGAAGCGGTGCAGGAGGGGGGTGCTGGGGTTAAGCAATTAGTGTGTGAAATAGATATCCTCTGCTTTTCCAGCAGCCAGCCCCACTCTGCCCCGAGTACAAAGTGTTAGTCTGTCAGCAGTACCTTGACAAGAGGAGAGTGCTCGCTGTTGTTTGTGCTTGCCTGGCGACCATCTAGTCTGATTATATGCTGCAGTGACTGGAAGGGGGCTCTGTACTAGCTGTGTCATTTCTCTCTGGTGACTCAGAGCTTTGAGGAATCTATAAAAGTCAAGTTACTTTGCACCTCAAGTTGTTTCTTCCTTGTGGTTTTAGCATTAACACCTTCTAGAACAGTAGCACTGTTGCAAAGCCGTATTTACCAATTTGGAAGACATACCTGGCTCCAACACACTCAACAATGGAGTCATTACTCTGTGACATTAACAGTATTAGTGTTTATTATGAAAATTGTAATGCACATTTTACTTTATCATAGGTTTTGTTTTTAAGAATGGTTTACACAGATATAGCCAGGCTATTTGTGTTACTTTGGCCCTGAATATGATATGTTTGATGAGATCAGTGGAGGATGAGCCTCAAAGGGGAAACAGTCATAATAAAATCTCACTGTAAAATACAATTACATGATAAATAAATATGTTTTTCTCTCTGTTTTTTTTTCATATCAAATTGTCTTTACAAATTGTGCCTGTGTCATAAGAACAATCATTTACAGTGGTTACAGCAGAATATTTACAGTGTAGTCAGGAGGAATGTTACATTTTTAACAAATCTTAAATTCTACATCCATCACAGTTAGCTATTTGTTTTAACATAAAACATTGTTAATAGACTTATAAGTGTGTATACAAAGAAGTGCAGCTTCATAAATAGCTCGAGAACCTTAAGACGGGGAAGAAGCATACATTCACCATTATTAAAAAATAAAACAAAACAAAACACTTTTAAGAAACTCAGCCTACACCTTAGACATGGTTGTGCTAAGAAAATATTCTTTGCTTCTTTGTGGGCAAAAATGTACACTTGAAAAATCAGGAAACCCAGCTGTCATAAACAGTGATGGACTGTAATTGGTGCATGTCTCTAGTTTTGTGCTTTGCATATATTATCATTACATTTGAGCATCCACTTCCTTTGAGAAACCCAAAAGGTTATTTAAAAACACTTGCAACTAGTTTTGAAGGTATTTCAGAAACAAGAAGATTACTGTTCATCTGGATTAAAAAAAAATCTTGTTCATTGAGCAAAACAATTTTTTTAAACCTATTTTAAAAAATCATTGTAGATATGTAAATTGATAAATATTTCTGATGATATATTCTTTTAATTTTGGTAAATGTACAAATTGAGACAGGAGGTGCTTCCTTTAAGATAAAATCTTTTTCTGTTAAGGAAATACTTAAAAAAAATATTTTTCTTTCTACAAAATATTAGTAAATATAATGTAATTTCCATTATCCACAATCATTTTATTATAATGGGAACTGCGAGAAGGCCAAGGAAACATCCTCACAGTGCTTTTTTTGTTGACCAATAGTCTAAAACCCAGACATTTATCATACAAAGCAAAACCTTACATTTGAAAAGCTGAAACAAAAAAATGTTTGGCATTTTTGTGTGAAGAATGACTGAAAAAATAATGGCTGATGATCAACTGATTGTTTTGATTTGTTTAGTTAAATGACTTTCACGCTGCATAAAAGATTGCAAGGGATTTATCTTTCAGAAAAGCTGATGCTTAGCAAAGACTTGCTAAATGTAGTGATAAGACACATGACAGGCACAGACTAGGGCTAGCGCATACAGAACATTAAATTGCAGGGTCAACGGGGTTGTTCAAACATCTGTGTCCAGTGGGGGAGGGAAGTCGAGACATGGTGACAGAGAGTCTTGACTGTGTGTGGAGCTAATCCCAGTGTCTGAGTCTGTGTCTGTAATGTCTAGAGGGGACAGGCTGTGTTTGAGTTTCACTGTCTGTGAGATGCTGCACTGGGTCTCACTTTTCAGCGGGACAGGATTGGACTGCTCCTCTTCTCCTCCATCCCCAATTTGCAGTGAGCTCAGGTGGGCAGCCAGCTGCCAGCACTCCTGATCTTTGGAGACCAGCGTAGCATCATAGTACTTCAACTGCTTGTCTATTTCTGCACCTTGATTGTGCAGGGACAAACCAGTAAAGAGGCTGTGCTTCAGTTCCTCCTGCAACCTCTCGAGTTCAGAAGTATAGAACGATTTGTCCGTCTCCAAGGGAATCCAGGAAGCAGCAGTGGCTCCTTCCTGTTCACTGTTCTCATATTTGCTGAGAGGGAAGTTGGCCCGCCTCAGCTCAGCATCAATATCCTGGGACAGCTGGAGGATGAGCTCCTGGTGCCTCTGAACCTGCAGTTCAAGCTGTTCGACTCCATCGCTGGTATACAGGTATTCCTGCAGCTGCTCGTTGCTGTGCATCTCCAAACTTTGACCGCAAGCCTGAGCCAGTGGACTCTCAGACTCAGCTTCCTTCTGCTCTTGCAGATCAAACTGCTCGATCTCCAGATCCAGGTCCCTCATGCGTTGGATTTGCTCTCTGATAGTGTGGTCCTGGTTGAGAATAAGCTGCACCATCCTATCGATCTCGTCAGAACCTGGGGAGCTCTTGCTCTCCTTGTGAAGCTTTTCCAGCTTCCGGAAAGCTTTCTTCACCATGCGCTTTTGCCTCTCCACCGGCACAGACTGGGTGTACTGAGTGCGACTGTGATCCCATCGCTTTGGCTTGGCCCCCTTGGCTTTTCCACCCTTTTTGGCAGGCTGACTCACAAAATCACTGGTTTTGACTAGAATAAACTGAATGAAGGGTCTCTGGTCACCCCAAGCATACCAGAGTCTCAGGATTCTGGTGAGAGGAGGCAAGGCTCTCTCAAAACCCTTCCACCGCTCAACAAGACAGAAATCTTTGGTTTCCCCATGCAGGAGTCGCTTGCTCTCTGGGACTGACTTGTGATCATCTAGTAATGCCTGAATCATATCTGCACATGTTGTGTGTTTTGTTACCCCACAAACAACTTTCTCCTCATTGCAGACAGTAACCTGAATCTCTTTTCCAACCACAGGCTCGGCATCTTTTGTCCTAGAAAAGACAGAAAAAAAAACGTATACAGTAATTGTGGCTTTGGGATGAAACATAATAAGAGTCTTAACCCCTTAACATACAGGTTTCCCCTTAAGTAGCTTTAAGGTTGTTAAAGTCCATTCATGCCACACTGTCTGACAGTATTGTGTCTAAAGCTCTATGATGTTTACATTGAGTACAATATTAAAACCCAAGACTCCATGATTTGTGCATCATTTTCTACACATTTTACCCAAATTCATTTGCAGCATTTTTGGTATCTTTGGAAACGTTTGGATCACATCAACAACAGATGTCCACAAAACACATAAGTCATCAATTTTGTGTAAAGTGAGACAATTGCACATTTTTAGACTGTGTTTCATCTACTGCGATCATCAGGTCAAAATTTCAATTTGTTGAGTAAATGCTTGCTGACATTCCCATCAGCCTGGGCTGTACTTTGTGTTTTGTTTAGCACGTCTTAGCTAGCAAACAAGCTAAACTAAGCGAAACTCACTATGGTGAACATGGTAAACATTATACCTGCTAAACACCAGCATGTTAGCAGAGTCATTATAAGCAAGTTAGCATGCTCACATTTGCATTTACCCGACTTACTCGGGCAGTAGTGTGCCTGTAGATTCTTTGTCTCATTGACCTTTCTTTAGATAGCAGACAGTAGAAAGGTGACAGGAAATGGGGGAGAAGGGAGGCCATGCAACAAAGGTCCCTGGTCAGGCATGAACCAGGGATGTTTAGATTACATGATCAGTGTCTTGAACAACTAGGCCACCAGGACACCCCAACAAAAAAAACACGTTACCCATGACTTCACCTTAACCTTGGTCAAATAACCATGTTTAGAAAAAGTTAGAAAAATGTTCAAATGCTTCACAAGCTTCTTTACATCAGCAGTTACAGAGCTGCATTTTGAAGTACAACAAAGACAGTCTCCCACTCATGCTGTTGGAGTCATTCCGCTATTCTAAGTAGTATATTTTCTCAAATACATCCTACTTTGATGGTTTTCCATTAGGTCAGTGAGCAGAAAACTACATTCACCCATTTTGTGCTCCCTAGCTTGATTCTATTAGACTGTTACTCATCGTCTTAGTCATCAGAGATGATCACTTAATGGTTTGGTTCTAAGCTATTTAACCTCAAGGCCCTCATTACCTTTTTGTATGGACCGTAAAACTTGCTCAAAAATTGACCTCTGATGGACCGATGATATCCATTTTTTATGTGCTTAATGGACCACCGGTAATATCCAGGACCTAATATCCAGTCATTAAATGATAGGCACCGGCAATGCAGACATCCACAATATGAACAAGTAATCAAATAAGTAGATAACATTGTCAGACATTTCAATTTGATTTCAAGATAAAGAATGATGTATCATGTAATCACTTATATGAAAGATAAAATGTATTCTGCTATTCATTTGATAAATTAGGTTAACTCTGATGTACTGTAGGTGACTGCCAAGTTTCTGTCTCAGTAAATGACTCATAGTTAAAGTTAAAGCCTACAGTGAAAGCAAAAAATAAGCGATATATAATCCTCCTGTAATTACAGACAGTTGAATCTCAAAGAAACCAGAGAAATATTATCCATACAATATCACAAAGAGACAAAAATTGGAGCTCCTCCTTCAACACTCAACTGCAGACTGATTTTTGAGGTCGAAAGGAATGTTGGCCTGTGGTTTTGCAACCAAACAGGCAATAATTCATTACACTGTTAACAGCAATATATCAGAATAATGTGCTTGTAATCCTGGTTAATGTCAAGTTTCTACTGTCCACAAAACGGAATCTCTAATGACATCATTGAGGGAGTTTAGCTGTAGGTCAGCAAGAGACACTTGTTCACATTATCTGACATAAGTGGACAGAAACCACAAGCCAAAATGGTGTTTAAACAATCTATATCTATTCTTTAAGCCAACAATCTATATCTATTCCTTAAGCCATATCTTCCAGTTTTCATTTCAGTTCAAAATGAAGAGAGTGTTACATTCAATGATTAGTGTACAAAAGCCTTATCTATGGTATATTTACAAAAGAAAACCGATTAAAATCAAATACTATAGGTGTTCAGTCTGGCTATCAAATGTAGAAGTTGTTCATCGCCTTGGAATGTAGTAAGGGTTTAAGATCTGAACCTTGCATCATGTAGCAGCGGTCTTTATCTGAGGAGATAACCTTGACTGTGGCTAGCATTAATCTCTGATCATCAAAAGGGTGGGTGGATAAAAACACACATCCTCTAAAGATGACACAAATACTACCAGCATACTAACACAAGTGAGATGTGAAAATAATTATTCAAACAGGAGAACTTGAAAATGCTGCATTATCTTGCAGTTTGCTGTTTTTACAGTCTGATACCACTATGTTTTGGTTCCCACACAGCATGAAAACATACAACTGGAGCATTGTGTAAACTGGTGGTGAATAAGGTCTCAGGAATGCGATACGTATGTAACAATGCAAGAAGCTGGTTAATGGTTATGGAGACACTTAGAGACAAGCAGGGCAAAGCAAATACCTGAGCTATGTGCAGGCCAAACAAATCCAGCACGCCTCCGGCAATCAAAGACAACGACCACAACGTCTTTGACAAGGCCTAAATAGTTGTACCTCACTGTAATATGTGGGTGGAAGGATGGATGAAAGAATAGGCAAAAAATCAGGAAAGGAGGGAAGAAAAACAGGATCAGGGCACTATAACTGCACTTTAATACAATGTGAAGTACAGATATTTCCTACAAATATTAGCACTGGTTTAAACATGTGACAAACGTGTCTATGGTTATATCTGAACGTACAAATGAATAAACATACCACAGACAATTGGGTATTTCAGAGAGGGTGACCCAAGCCCTCAGCTGTACAGGAAGAGGGTACAGCAAGGCAGGGAAACACCTGTATTTGTCCTGGGCTACAATCACCATGCTCCGACAACATCCTGCCACCACAGTTCAATGGACAGAGGGAGGAAGGGGAAAAATGGATTCCATACTGATCACCGTGGTCTGTTTTTAACTCGACTCAAATGTGAATGAAGTGTTGACAAATTTATGACTGTGGCAGCAATATCCACATTTCATCTGCCTGGAAAAAAATATCTAGCAATATTAAAAATAAACTTATGTCCATGATGAAGTATGTAAACATTTTCTCAGATGCTAAACTGCTCTGGAGACCAGTATCATGTCAATGATTTATGATTTTTAAGAATCCTAAGTAAAAAAAAAATTACAAATAAAAGAAAATGGGAATTTAGGCCCAGTTGCACCTGTACGAGGAGCAAGTGGCAACAACAACAGCTTACTGTGATATATCAATCAAAAAAACTATCATAGCATACTATTCTGTAGGCCTTAGCCCCTCCTTAATGGAACAATGATTCACATAACTGCCACCAAGACAAATTAAATGAAGAAAATTGGATTACAAAAGAGGTACTGGAGTATTTTTTTTACTTTGCACTGTTGTAGATTGAAAGTCAAATTCCTTGGTGGGAGAAACATTTTATTTTCTGAGGACAAACATTTTGATGGTGGCATCAGTCCAAAACCCCTAACCCTCTCTTGTCAACTCCCTGCCAGGACAAACACAAATACTGCACACACCATTGGGCTGACTGCATCGCAGTTAATATGTTCATAAGGGCTGTCACTCTGGGAGCCATTTGATATTCATAGCTTGGGATTTGGCTGTGGTTCCAGATGCAACAAATGGGGGTACCCTCATAGGTCACAGCATTGGCCGACAAATGACACTGATATTGTGATAAACTCAAACCTTCTGACTGGAAATGTGCTAACAGAATAAGTGTGTGTGCGTGTGTATGTGGGATGATTAATAGAAATATTTAAATACAAAGTTCTTGTCATAGTGAGGACGGATGCTGCGCAATGAATAACACAGGACGGGTTAGACCTCAACATTTCACACTTGAGTGAACCCAAGAAACCTGAGCAAACCTGCTTGACCGCAGTTTGAACTTAAAAGCTGAGATACCCAGTGGGAGGAAAACATATTTAAATTGTATGAATTTTTATGCAGTTTTACGTTTCTTCATGGGCCGATTACAGCTCCACGGGGTGGCATGGCTCTTTTCCATTGTAATACTCGTAATGACAACCTTGTAGACATTAACAACTCCCTCTGTGTCATAAATTTGCAAGCTACAAGTTACCACAGAGGACTACATGCTGGTGGTTTGAACAAGTCATAACAAATGACAGAATTATAGCTCTCTGGTGTCTCAGCTTGTTTTCTCAGATCAATAGATATGATAAGGTGATGCAGATATTCCCAGCAGAAACAAAGCTGTGGTAGCATATACAGCAAAGATATCCTGTAGCCACTGCTGTCATCAGTTTCTGATTTTCTTGCTATCGAATGAAAAATTAAATAACTTTCAGATTAGTCTGGTGGTGATACAATTATAGGTTTGCTCTTTCAACAAAAAAATAAACCCGTGCTCAAAGTGCAGTAAAACCTGAATTACACTGTAAATCATTCCTGATGGCAACTCTTGTTTACCTCTAGTGATAGCCAGAGGTAGATGCTTATGGTTTTATTGCCCACATTTTAAGATATCAATATCTGAGATTACTGCTGCCACCCCAATACAACGATAGTAAATAGTCATTTGTTTATGGTGGTCACATTCAAGAATCTTTTTTTTTTTCATTTATATAATTACATTATACTGATAAGTAATAAATAAACACAAAATGTGGCTGAGGCTAATTCAAACTGCATTGTTCTTGGTTATATACCAGAGTATTGGACAAATAAAAAATGTGACTTAATGATGGATATATGGAAAGTTTCATCCTGGCAAGAAACATCTCACACCTGCATGTTTGTGCTAAATTTAATGACAATGTATCTAGTCTGAGACATATAATTTAAAACCACAAATGTCATGGTGGCACCAGAGGAAAAGCCAGTTGATAACCAAAGTTGTTCAATGGCATAAATCCAATAGTTAGTAGAAGTGTGGCAAAAAATGTAGACACAATATCTCTCTCTGTGTCTTTGTTACAAACTATGCAAACTAAACAAAAGCTAAGTGAGAAAATGTTTTCTTGTTTTGATATTTGGGTGAACCAACCCTTTAAAATCAGTTAAAAGAAATCTGAGTGTCTGCCATAGGGTATGGCACATCACATTACAGACACATGACCTTTGCATTGTTTCCCATATAGTAAATGTTAATAACATCAGGCCATAAAACTCCGTTCAGGAAATGCTAATGCATTCTTTTCATCTAATTAAAGCAGCTCTGTTTTCAGGCTGACCACCACACAGCTCGTAGTTTACCCATAATCCTGGAAAATGTTTCATTCGCCCTGTCTGTCATAGAATGTATGGAACCATAGAGGGCCATCATACCATTTAACTAAAGTTAAAACAAATGACCAACATTGAATTAAGGGTACACAGACTGTAGCAGAGAGACCCTGGATGCTGGAGAGGAGACACTTCCTCTTACTCTTATCTAAAAGAGGATGAGGGATTGGGGAGGAAATAACATCACTTTTCTATCTGGATATGTTGATATCTGGGATGACTCCCTCTGTGATAGGCATCTGTGAGCAAAGACACAACACACACCCTTCCCTTCGCTTCCCTCCGCCTCTGAAACCACCCACCCTTCTTACCCACCGCTCCAGCAGGTCTGTGAATCACCAAATAAGCTTTTGCTCAGTGAAAATAAATGACTTATTCTCTTTTTAACACAACTCAATGCTTTCATTGTATTCTGTGGCCTGCTAATTTGTGTTAACTGAACAATTTCAGCTGCTAATTGGTCATGTGCACAATGTAGTCATGCTGTAATTGTGGCTAAGAGCAAGATTAAGTGGAGGTGGCCACTACATTGCTTTGGTAACATATGTCACTGTCTGGCAACCATTACATTTCAAACCTTTTGAGGCCTGCATGTGCTCTTTCACTATAGGACAATAGTACGACACACAGGACTCCCTGATGATGCACTGTGATCCTTTGATGGTAAAGAGTGTTACAACAAGTGTTGTCAGCTGTAATTAACGACACATTAAAGTTTTATCCTGAAAGTTTGTGTCAGGTTTGATGGTTCTACTGACTGCAACTCCACATCAGCTTCATCTTGTCACTCTTGAGCAAACATCCAGCTCAATGTGTCAGCACGAGTAAAAGCGAGTCTATGAAATCAAGCGTTTGACATATCTACAGATCTAAACACTTGAGGTAATTATAGGTGCTGCAATGGCAATTACCACACAACATGAAAAAACTAAGACATCCACTGGAGACAGCCTCAGTCAGACTGTTTGAAGTTATCAAAGATAATTCATCTCGGCTGTGCGTGTGATGTGAAAGTACATCCATTTTGCTGCTGGTGCCACTGTCAAAGAGTTTTTACAGTAATTTAGTATAAAAGCCTCTTTTATTTCTGAACTTAATCCAAACCCTTTCCGCTAAGTTTGGTGTTAAATGAGAGTCTTAATGAGTAAAGCTAATGAAAATAGTTCCGTACCCACAGTTAAAACCTTCCTGATCCTGGTCTTGGTGACATAAATCCTGTCTGCACCCTGACAAGGATTGGATCATGACCTAGATACTCCAAAAGAGAAACTCTGTTTACCAACCCTGCACAACAAAAGTCTACTATCCAGCTATACAAACAGAATTTCTGTACCAATAACAGAGCTCAGTTTGAGTGAATCTAATTTTCCCACCTTTTTAAAGCTAAGGCTGGATCTCGGCTGCAGCAAGGAGCACATCAAAAGGCCAAGCTAGCCACTCAAGGAAATTGCAGTGGCAAATTATACAAGCGTTGATGACAGGATCTCTCTCAATCTGAAGTAAGAAGGCCTCCCAAATAAAATGTATATCAAAAACAACATCTTTGCAAAATTACAGAGCAGGTGATGGTGATGATGTACAGTTAATGCACAGCACAGTGTTCTTTGACAGGAATGAGAGAACACCTATTAAAGGGCATATTTTACTCATACTTTCCATAACTCACAACAACAAGCAAGATTATACTTCTTACATGAGTGATTTAGTGAGATTTTAAGTATGTGGGAAAAATATAACTAAAGGAAAACAGTTTTTCAAATGTTAAAGATGCCCACACACACACATGCAAGACAGCTGATGTTGGTTTAAAACAATAATGGAAAGGTTAAAAAATACACATTTTACAAAGAAATTGATATTGTGTCCCTTTGCTTCTTATAGGTAACCTACGGTTCAATTTACTTACTTAAAGGTATGTTTTATGTCTCACGGTATCACCTGTTAATATAGTCTGACTTTGCATTTGGACAGTAGCTTGCAGTATCTCTCTTATATTACTGGTAAATAAGGATGTAAAAACAAAACTGCATTAATAATTTAGCCAACTTTGCCCCTTGCGCAGCTTACTCATAAATCCGATGCGCAATGCGTTGCGCGTAGTTGTCTCTCCTCCACAGTTCAACGCAGTGTTTTCCAATAGCCGAACTCGGGGAAAAGACACACTCACACATACACAGGTTTCACGTCTACAAAACCTCACTGTCATCAAATTACCTGTTTTTCAGCCGAGCTTTCAGGAAGTTTTTTCCAAACGGAGCCATGACTCAGGGGCGAATCGAAACAGACCTAGCGATCCGAAATGCGTTACAGTCCCAGCATGGCAGAACGTCGGACACTTTGTGGAGTGTTGAAAAAGTTAAGCGGTGTCCCGACTGCAACTCTGTCCGCCCCATCCGACAAGCGTAGGGAGGTGTTTCTCAGACTATACTGAGAAGTACTGGTGAAACTCTGCCCCCTTCCACCTGCCTGAACAACCTGAGAAACCACAGAGAAAAGAGACAAGATGAAAGTAAATGCTTGTGGCAATTCAAACAAAGTCACAGTGTTCAGTGAAACGTAAAAAAAAATATTCGACAGAAAACTGGTCGTTAAATATTGTAGGGTAAACATAAACAAAACCAATGAGCACAACTGTACATCAGGCTACTCCACTTACTTTTCATTGCAGTTCAAATTTCAAACTTGAACTGGAAGCCAGTGGATATATTTGTAAAGTAATATAAAAATATGATTAGAGTCTTCCTGAGCTGCATTGTAGGACATGAAGATGGGGTTTGGTAACTGGCTCTCCCTGCTGGATTCATGTGACAAAGATGAAATTCAGACATGAGAGGAATTCAGCCTGCTTTAACTCTACTCTGACTGTTTTTGCTGTTCCAACTGGGATGTTTACTCTATATTAAAAGGATATCATTCTCTGTGGGGACCAGTTAGTGTGAATATGGACAACTGAAGCTAAGGCTGATTTACATATACTGACATGACTATACTTACTTTGCGACTTAAATAAAAGTAGATTTCATGTGATGGCCTTTTTTATATTGTTACAGTTCAAAAAACCCAAGGCTACTTTTGTTATTTGTTGTTTGGGAATAAACAACTAGAGATGTTTGTAATTAGAACAGGTAAATGCTGAAATTCATGAATTAATTATGTTTGGTCTTTAAAGCCAAAAATTTGTAATTTTATAAACAGTCAAATCAGGAAGTGACTAAATTATGTACTGGCAACGTTTACTGCCAGTGGGAATGCTACTTGTATTTCATTTGATAACATTTATGCTATTAATTTTTATTCATATGAAGTCCAAACCGTGGCAACAGCGAACCTTGAAACACATAATGGACTAGGGAAGTTGCTGTTGTGATATTATTGTATGTAGACAAAATCTTCATCTATTTTCAAATTTAGTAGTATCTAAAAAGCAAGTAAGTTTATGTCAAGGATCATTTTAATTGAAGAAAAGACTGCGGCGTTGCCAAGGGGGCGACAGCCCCCATGATGCAATCACTTGCCACCCCGCTGGGCCTCTCTTGCTTCTGTGATACTTATGCATAATTTGCTTCCATCTGATATGTTTAGGAACTATTCATTTGAAGATCCAGTGTGTAGGATTTAGTGGTGTAATTGCAGATGTGCAATTTCCTCGCTTCACCCCCTTCTTCCAAGTGCAAAGGAGAAACTTCGGTGGCTGCGAAATGTGCACCAAAATGCAAATACTCTTAACTAAAGACAGTGTTTGGTTTGCCCTTTCTGGGCTAGAAAAATGAAGGCAACACTGTGGTGTTTATAGATATAAATGGCTCATTCTAAGGTAACAAAAACAATTCCTATATTCAAGTGATTATACACTAATGAAAACATATTTTATTCCATTTCTGCCATTTGATCATCTTAAATGTTACCCACTGGATCTTTAATTAATAGTAATAATAATATTAATAATAATATAATATATTTTTCATAATAGTTCGTGAAAGAAAATAACAAATGCAGCCAGCAAATTTTTACGTCACATGTCACAATCAGTTTGATTCATATCTTTAACGGGCACTTATTGGGTTTGTAAGTCTAGACAGTCACCTGTTGGTTTTAAAAGAGACATAATTGGCAAGAAAGATGTGATGTTGCACAGCTTGAATCTTTGTCGTGCATCCTCCCACCCTCGCACATCACCCCTACAGCCCGATCACTGGAAGAAGCACATAAGAAACCTCTGTGTGCATTCATGAGGTGAAATAACCAAATTTCCCAAACCTTGACGCAAAACACTTTTGCCTTGTGATGCCACAGTGACGTCTGATGAAACGATGACACGGTGACAAGACGGAAAAGAGATGGATGAAGGGGGGCTGTGTTAGTAGGTGGGAAGGTGGGTGTGGAGATGAGGAGAGGAGGGGGTGGGGGGGATCATTGGCTCTTATAAACTGAGGGAATGGAGCCCACTGCATTTCACAACCAACCAGAAAACTGCAAGGAAGGGGAAGCTTTTTTGAGGCTGGAAGAGAAGAAGAAGAAAAGGAGGAAGAAGAAGAAGAAGAAGAAGAAGCAGTAGCATATACAGATTCCCTTCGCAGCCTCTTTAGCTGTCTGTGTCTGACCCCTAACCTTATGGACTAGATTCCTCCTCAGGTGATTTCTTCAGTGTGGGATTTTTTGTTTTTGTTTATTTTCTCACCAAGATGCAGGCACAGCTGGCATTTATGCTTCTCCTCTGTTTCACATGTGGTGGACTTTGCACAGGTAAGCACTGTGGCTCTTTCAACAGGTTTTGAATTTATGCATCATGTTATGATATTATTTTTTTATTTATTGTTATCATTTAGAGTAACAAAATAGGAGTCATTCAAGCAAAGTATGGAACAGGTCTAACCATTTCTCTAGCACACAACAGGTGCATCATTTTGGTGATATTGTATATCACCAAAAAGGTAACTTAATATTCTGAATCATGGACATTTTTCTGTTTCTAAAATAATAATTTGCACTTAAAAGCTTCTTCGTAACATTGTGATTGTCTGAGTTTGAGTTCCTGGATTGAATACTGAAATGCCATGGCTGCTGACATGATTCATTCTTAAGGTGGTAACTTTTAAACTCAGTTAAATTTCTTTAAGACCATTTTCTACACAAGTTGCTTACTTACTGCTTCAGGATTTCTCTTTCAGACAGGCTCTTGTAAACCCCCTTTCCTCGATGATCCAGAGATGCCTTATTTAAATGTTTTAGAACCCATTTGAACCCATGTTCGTACAAAATTACAACACTCTACACACTACTCACAGCAGAGTAAACCATATTTATTTGTTATTTTCTGATTCTCTGATTAAATACAGGCTAAACTCAAATGCTTTTAAATCCACGAGGAGTCTATGTCCATGGAATTAGCTAAGTAAAGTCACTTTTGGTCTAGTGAGCCACTAAGCAATCAAATTTAACTGTAAGATGGAACAATTTGTTCATGCAGAGAAAAAACTTTGTATACTGTTTTAAAAATGTGTTTCATTGACATGGCTTTATTAGGAAAATAGTGTTTTGCTTCACTCTCAGGACACACTTGAAGTTCCGTACATCAGTAGTGTGTCACCTGTTGAACGCCTGTTGTGGGGTGTCATCAAAAAGTGCTTGAGATATAAATGCTGCAAACTCTTCCGAGCTCACAGAGAGGATGAAACAGCTCAAATGTCTTTCTTATGCAGCAGTCACTAAGGATTCACTTAACTCTTGATTAGATTTGCTTAAAGGTTATATTCCTGTTTCTCTTCTTACTCACAGACATCAACCAGGACCAACGAGCGCTAGAAGAGGAGCTTCTCAGCAGTCTCTTCACTTCTAAGGTATGGGGTCTTTCTTTGCACCTGTGACATCAGAGACAGAGAGTCCAAAAAGCTACAACCCACCGGGTCCGTTAGTGACCCTTCACATCTTTCAGCTGACCCAACACACAGGCTGCCCAGGTGTTCTTTCATGAAATCTGGATCTATGCTTCAGTCCCAGCTTCACATTTTGCTTGCGTGCATGCTGAGTGGGAGATAAATAATTTATTATAAGAGGCTTTTTAACTTAAATTGTTTTGATTGGAAATTAAATTAGGTTTTTTTTATGTGCACAGCAAAATCAGTATAATCAACACACTCCAGTTCCTGCAGTCATGGCCATGTCCTTTGAGATGAAAAGAAAATAAGATCTGAGGCTGAGGGAAGTTATTTAGTTGTAACCAAAAGCGTAGTAG